GGACAACGAGATCCCGGACGTGTGGCACGCATTCATCGCCGCCCACGGTCTGCACGTCAACGCGTTCCGGTCTTGGCGCAATTACGCCTACAATGCGCTCGTCGCCAACAGCGAGGCCCACCGCTCCTTTTGCAGCAACGTCATTCAGCCGTTGCAAGCACACCTCCGCGCGCATTTGAGTGACGTCAAGATCGTCACGTGCGACTACCGTGACGGCGGTGACCAGATTGTCAGCTCGTCTTTTGTAGGCGGGCTGACCGCCGACGGGTACCTCGTCGGCGTCTTCTTTGGGTTTGAAGATGTGTTGTAAATGAACTCGATGCGTTGTTGTTGTTGAAGTGAGTCTATTTAGATATAATTTACACTGAACTGGATATGGTGGTGGACTATCGATTCCAAGGTGCTAAACTCGATGCGTTGTTGTGTCGCCGGTATATTTTGGTGCAACTCGATCGGCACCGTAGCACCAATACCACGGACAAAAGAAGGTGGTTTTACGCCCTGTCCATGTCGAATCAACATTTGCAGAAAGAACGAGAGTCGGACCTCATCCCAATGCACCAGTATAGGTCCATTTCTGTCAACTTGACAGAAATTGACTAAATTGACTCGCCAGAATGTGGTGCTCTTCGCAAACCAAGTCGTCTTCGCTCAAAAAGACTACATGTAGGTGGCTCGAGTAGCTACCGGTAGCTATCGACGGCACCTCACTCCCAACGAGTACACCCAACTCTTTCCAGGACGGACGCCCATCGAAACACTTGAAAGATTTCAATGCAAACTTAGTTTGATTATATACACGACACGAGGACAAAGGGCGATCTTACGGCGTCATGGCGTACGACACTTGGACGGGCGCGCTGCCGCCGCAGAGCGTCACGATGATCTGCGTGAGGACCGAGAAACCTTCACCGGTCATGAGGCCGGCGGCGAGGATGTACTGCGTCTTCTCGAACGAGTCTTCGTCCTTGGACTTCCAGTACGCGATGATACCGGCCATGATCATGCCTTCGAGGCCAAAGCTCGCAGGCACAATCATACCGATCGAGACGGCCATCGGCAGCGGGCAGTGGTTGGCGATGACGTTGAGCACCTTGTTCTTGGACTCGGAAAAGTTGTCAATGTACAAGTTGAACACGATCGTGTAGACGACGCCGACAAGCATGAAGTAGCCGCAGTACGT